CTGTCATACATTGGAATACATGACAAATTCAAAATTTGTAGGTAGATTTGCTTAAACTAATGGCGACGGCATGTTGCGAGCCTGGAAATCGCTCGTCCACAACGCACGCCATGTCAATGCGTGGCTTCTTGGTAAGTGGAAGGACATCCGCGCACGCCCTTATACGGGGCACTGTGGCTGCAGTTGGAATATAGTCAAGCAACGTCTGCTTGCCTTTAAATATTATTCGCTGTTTATGGCAAGCGCCTATTGCCAAAATTGGCTGATACCATTCTCACGTGCTTTAATGGATGATAATAGAGCTGGGGATCGTGTACTGCAGCAGGATAGAAGTAAAAGTACAAGCTTTATTACCACGCTTTTGACAAAAATGCAAGGTTGGCTGTTGCACACAAATGCCGAAAAGCTGAATCCCGAAGCAAAGAAATCAAGTGGATTCTTCCCAAAGGAAGCAACTGGCCACAGAGTAACATTTCGTGATATTACCATACAGGAGTATGAGAACCGACTGCGAGCATACTCACAGCCGCAGAAAATTTTTTGCTACTTTGCCACGATCAAGACAGAGAATGATGCCGGCAAATTGAAAGTTTTTATGACGCCTGTCGACTTTTTGCGCTCATTGAGACCAGGCCTAAGGCAGCCAGAGGGCTTGGGCTTAAACGAGTTCCGCAATATGACCAGAGAAAAAGTCAAAAAACTTAAGTTCAAGGGCTTGGCGAAGGACAGCATATTTTATAAGCTTCGACCAGATGGCCTCATCACCTTCTGTGATTTTCTGTACCTGGTCATGCTGCTGACAATGCCAGAGAAATACTTTAAGATGGGCTTCAGACTTTTTGAACAGCAGGAAAATGGTAACCTCGGCATAAGGGATATGAACACTTTAGTGTTGGGCATCACCCATGATGATCTATTCAAGAACATCTCTGCTGTACACTTCTATTTTTTTGGCCCTCACCTAACCCAGAAGCTGAGCCTAGACAAGTTTCTAGAGTTTAGGCGCCAGCTACAGCACGATGTTCTTCTGCTCGAATTCAACTTACTTCTGAAGAAACGCAAGCCAACGGACGCAAATAAGCCGCCAAATAAAACAATCAGCGAAGTGTGCTTTGCTAAATTACTGCTGAAATGTTCATCTATGTCAAAGGCTGAGAAGACTGAAACACTGATACGTATCAACAAGAAATATCAACCGCTCAAGCGCGGCATAACACAAGATGAGTTTATGTCATTCTTTGAATTCGTTCAACATCTGCCAGACATAGAAACGGCACTGTCCTATCATTATCTTGCCGGTGCAGACATATCCCGAGGAGCACTTAAACACATTTCTGATGTGCTTGTCGGCGTTCCTCTGTCGCCCCATTTGATCGATGTAATCTTTACGGTTTTCAATGCCCCAAACAGCGGCATCCTGGGGCGCAATGGTTTCATTGAAGCTTTGCGACATCGCATGTTGCGTTGCAAACACACATCCTTAAAGCTAGCGGATCTCTACGGAAGCGTCCTAAAGTGTGTAAAGGAAACGTGGATCGTATAGGGAGAAGCAATTTCGCCCCAGCCTCGCGACACCTGTTCGATGTAATAAATTTATATTGCACCAGAATGCCTGTTAGTGTTCCCAAAACTTGAATACCAACATCACAAAGCCAAGGCAGCTCTCCACAATGCGGCGCTCTGGTTTGATGCACTTTTCCTAGCTCTTCACTCAACTCCTTTGAGTATAAACGCTTTTAGCAGACACACATCGCAGTCAGAAACCTACCACTAACCCAGGTGCATAGCAATACCCACAACTGGCACAGACCGAGCGCACACGTACTACTTACGTACATATAATTTACTTCTAACCAAGAGCGCGTATTGCTCAAAAGCGTAGTTTGTTTGCTTTCAACTCTTAAGACATGAACAACGAAGCAAAACAGAAAATCTATACTGATGTCCTTACACCAAAGTTCCATACTAAGGCGAAACCGCAAATATATGTACTCCGGTAACGAAAAGTTTTTTTTTCAGAGAAAATGCCATTAAACCTGCCCTTTAAATGTTTTCGTGGGTCAAAACTCAGTTGTTAGTTTATTGAATAGAAGCATTAAGTTTTGCTTATGTACTTGCGATGCATACGATTAAACCGGAACGCAATGCCATAAAACAGGCTATTGTTTATCTTCTATATATTTTCATTTGTATAGTTGAATTAATTTTTATTCATTCTCATAATTTTTTTTTGACATTTTTAGTAATTCAACACACTAACTGGAGTTTTAATATTGCAAGTGAAACCACAAAATGAAATGTAAAGGCAAAAATTCAAAATCAATTAAATGCAATGCAATAAGGAACAAGTAAAGTGCTTGTCGGGAGTGCACGACCGGGGGATACCCTAACCCTGCGTTATCATCATACTTTACAGTCAACAGAAAATCACTAGGATTTGGATAGATAAAAATTAATTAAAATATTAGCAAAACATATAATTGAAAAAAAACATGAATGCGTGTCTTAACATTTTTCTTTAATAACCATTGTGTTTCCTTACCATATTTATGGACTAAGTCGGCTATTGATTCTGACAAAGATATACCTTATACCATAACTATTATGCCCTTTGTACATATTTTTAATGGGTTCAGTGTGAATTGGGGGTGGAGTTGCCCAAATAAGAGAAGTATTTTGGCAGTTTTACTAATTGATGGCAAGTATCCTTTGTGTGAGCATGCACGACGGACTTGACTTGAAATTCTTGTTGGCCGTACATGTTACATGTACTTGATTTTACACTAAATGAATTTGTGACAATCGTTTCATAAAATCTGCATCAACTGTCAATGGGATTTGTTTCATAAATAAAATATACTTAGGAATTTAAGAATTTATGATGAAATTGACTGAACGTAACAAATAGCATTAAGGAAAATTTTATATTTCTTTGCACGATAGTAAGCTAGTTATAAGCCTATTTCTAGTCGACTGCCATTTTATTTTTTCTTGCCAGATGTTCGGTCAAAGCAATAAAGGTCCAATCTAACTGAACAGAGTGCAGCATTTTGTTCACACACTTGTTCAAAAACATTTACACACACATACGTGGGCTTTTTGAAACATTTCTGTGTGTGGGATATTCAAATTTATAAATTATGAAATTTTATGGCATTGAGGCGTAGTATGTGCAAAAATATTATCTTACACACGTCTATGCCCAAGCATATTTTCATGCATTTGCGCAGTTTATATTCCTGGTTGCCACACCCATTCAGACAGACCAAACGACTTAGAGGGTCTGCACTTTAACATAATTTACGTGAATTTAGGTTGCTGAAAATGTTAGCCTGACAGTACCGGCAGGGTATCAAGGTTGAAAGTTGGCCAGAGCCACAGCAGGAACGGCGCTTATCTGAGTTATGAATATGCAGGTTCTTATCGCGTGAATACGAGCATGTGTGTGCGGCTGTACGACTGGTGTAAGTAAGCATAAGTGTGCCGTCCAGCAAAATTTGCATAAGATTTAAGCACCTGCAAATTTTATTTATCATTAATCCATTTTTAGGCAGTGCACCTATAGCAAATTCTTAAATTTTCGAAAAAAGCTTTCGGCCAAGCTTTAGAGCTTACACAAAGTTGATAGAAACAAATGCAATCGTCATGGTCCTTAAGTGGATAATTTTATTTTCAAATTATTTCCGACCAATCATTACCAATGTCTTTACCAGCTGATCCCTCAAAATCGTATATGCTTAGTTTGGCAAATCAAAGAATAGATGATTGTTGATCCTCTACCAAGCAGCTGCAGAATTATATGCTGTGTGCTAAGTTTTTAATACAAGAACCTACTTTTCGACCGATCGTTCCTATGACAGCTATAAGATACAGTGGTCCGATGTTGATAAGATGTTGGATATATGTAGGGAGCTTAATGCAGAGGGAGCTCATGAGTAGCTATAAAATGAAAGATACTCGATCTGTATATTCCATTCTAGAAGCTACATGTCAAATTCGGTGACTAGCTTAAGATATTTTCTTTTTTTTTGCTTGGAAACGGAAACAAACTTATGCTGCGCAGGCACTCTAATCCTTATACCCATTTTAAAACTAACAAGTATAGATTGACTATGCATATAATCATTATCTCCTAGTTTTATGAAGGTTGAGTTAAAACCTAGTCTCTTATACAGTATTTTACTCATCCCACTCAAACCCCAATTTTAAATAACTAAAAATTAATTTTTAATTATAGATTGCCGTCCATGCACAAACGGTCAGCTCGACAAGTCGAAATTTAATGTGCCCATAAAATAATATCATGAACAGTTTTATAATTTGCAATACAATACCATTAAACATAATTGTAAATCGGTAAAACATCCATCCACAGTCATTTACTCCGAATTGAGCTGACTTCCTGAATCTCGATTCCCCTACATTACATTTGTATTCCTGCGCATGACAGCATTCATATACCCCTTTTAGGGCTATAAATCCCCTGTTTGCACTATCAAATACAGATTTTACCCAAATTAACCACAAGACTTATGTACTTAAACAAATTTATTCCGCAATCAAACCAAAACTGTATACAATTTTAATGAAGCCATCGAATTAATATACAACCAACATTAACTGCCCTATTTGTAAGTGTGCGTTTCGAAATACATAATTGATGAACTTTCGGGCAAAAAACTTTTTTAATAAAAAATTGAAGCTAGTCGAGAGCCCGACTAGGGAATTCCTTGGACCCCGCACGGTGCTGCCGTTACAAGCATTCTATCTCCCTTTTACCTCTTACCATAAAACATTCACAACATACAAACATATGTTGTAAGTCCTTCCACTCAAGATCACAGGCACACGCTCGCAAGCACGCCGCTTGCTGCTTAATTGAATCGGTGTTTGTTGTCCGATCATTATCAAATTATTAGGTCATATTATAAAATCCAAATATCTGTAAGTGCCTAAGCACATGACTATACCTCTAAAAATTAATCTTTTTCATTGTTTAGGAAACGGTAATGCTGTGAGTGAAATGCTTTATATTATACGAGAGTATACTTAACAAAATTGTTGGATCTAACAACGAGATATGGAAAAAATACAGAATTTCGATAACGATTTTATGAAAACGGGCCAAGTGAGGCTATTGATCCTGAGTAAGTTTATGCATTGTACTGTATTTATTTATCAGGATGGTTTTTCATACATTCCATGACTCTAATTATATATAATTTCAACTTATGTTCGACATCGCAAGCCAAATGCCCTAATTGCTCATCTCTTTATTTATCAATTTGTGTCTTATATTCATTATTTATACCTGTCTGTTGACAATTTTATATACCTTATGGGTTTTGATATGAATTCTTCCTGTTACATACATTGCCACAAAACCATTATACCCTTTTCCCATTTACAATGATGATTTCAACAAATCTGGGTCAAGCTTTATATTAAATAACGATGCAAACGAAGATCACAACAAATGATTAATGTTGTAAAAGGGAAATCTGTCAATAGATTAAAAGAGGCCTTGCTTGGAGTTTTTTTTTTTATTTCCAGCAATCATTTATCACGTGCAAGGTGGACGCGTGGCGAAATCAAAATGGCTTCCGATCCGGTTAAATGTGCCGATGGCTAAACGGAATATGTGATAATATACAAAGGGGCTGCACAACCCTCTTACATTTTGCAGTTACCTATTGTTGCTTTTTGATTTGACTGACCCCGAAATGAAATGAAATGAAAAAAAATTAGAATCCACTGACGCAACGAATGGCCCTCCAAACTTACACTTGCATATATGGCATATGAAAAATGAAAGGCAAAATGCGAATACAATAATAAATAAAGCCACTGACTGAAACCGTGTAGCCTTTATTTCCAGTTTTTCTGCCACTGCTCGAACGACTCGAACGACTGGCTGACTGGCACATGTCAATCAGAAAACAGAGCCATAATCTCTGCTTGACATGAACTTAAAAGTATTATGACAAATATTTCGCAATCTGTGCGCTGCTCTGTCTCTGAATTCTCGCTACTGTATCCATTTGGCATGCATTTGCATGGGGTCTTACCATTATGGCATCAAATGCGTAACGTACTTATATAATTACAGATGTTTTTTTTCCAAGCTTTTTAATCGCATATAAGCTTGAAAAACTTTATATGTAAGCAATTTTGCAATAAATTTGCTTGTTTGGATTATAAGTACTTTGCGTTCAACATGTAATAAATGTAGTAAATATATTTGTGAGGGTATTAAATCAATGACCCCCGAAGATAACTTCTCTTTTTTAAGCTCACATTTTTGATGTCATTTATGTAGAATGTGTTATGCTGGGCTTCTTGTTGCAAGTGCACTGTGTGTGTGTGTTGTCCTTGTTGTTACTTTTACTGGACTCTGGCCTTTGCGTGACGCACAATTCAGTTTAAATAAAAATCATTTCGTTGCAAATACCTTATGACATATTTCTGTTTTTGACATGGCCTTATTGTAATGTTGTTGCTGTTTCTGGTACTGCATCACCGCCAACAAGCATGCAAAATACTTATCTGAAGGCCTTTCACTTGTTGGAAGAAAACCCAGAGCATATTGTCGCTTTCAGGCAACTGGCGCGTATCCTTTTATTTTCTCCTTTTTTTTTTTTGTGCGCCGGACATGCGGTAAATCAATTTTTATTTATTATTTTATGAATTGCTATCGTTTTTTTTGTTTTTTTTTTTTTAAATTTAACTCACTTAAGTTCGCATCGTTTGCATGTGTAGCTGTTACCAGATTTAATTTACTGTGTGTATGCCTCCAACCGCCAAGCCCGCTTATCGCTTAATTGAGAATGTATCCGCGGCAGTGCACGAGGTGGCACGTAATTTTGTGGTCATTACTACGAATGCTGGCAGCCATAAAGCAAATAAATATGAAATATTTTTCATTGATGAATATATTGCCGCTGAATCCCAAAGGCCATCCAGACCGACCGACCCACTGTAGCATGCTTATACGAAAGTGAATGGATACTCCGTACTGAATTAGAGGATGTAGGCTGACGCACAGCGTTTAGCTGAAATTTTCAAATTTCGTTTAGATTGCTTGTTTTTTTTTTTTATTCGTTTGTTTGACCTTCCACAGGGCTGACACATTACAAAAATTTGAATATTAATTAATAATTAACGAGATTTAACAACCGAAAAACCATACAATAATGTTGCCAAACAAACGACAAGAATCACAAACCAAATTATTTTTAGTTGCAAACGTGAAAGTGATGAAATGGTTCACTTGCTTTATGGCTGACATTTTACGTGATTTTACAAAATGAAGGACTACCGATAAATGTTTGCTAATTTTCTAAACACTGTTTTTTTTTTTAAGCAAACAAACAATTGTAATCTATGAGTTATCCAGTTTATAAAGTTATAATGAGTTCGAAACTTTGAGCAATACTTTTGCAAAACGCTGTCGTGTTGCCTGCCAATTTGTGCCTTGTTCCTATTTGATAAAGTTGAGCAAATCCAATTATCAGTTTTCAAATCGCATCTTATGCAAATGATGCCTATGCCAGAATGTAAAAAGAGAGACCGAAAGCGAATGTGTGTTTGCGGTTTGGTTTTAACATTGGCAAAGCCAATTGAAACTTGAGCGCGGCTGCACGAGTCATTTGACTAGAAACCTAAAATAAACCTAAGTTCATGCAGCAATGGAATTCTCGGCGTATGGAAAACTAAAACGGATACGAAAAACCAATAAAATATAAACTTTTGAGTGTAAGCGTTTGTTAATACCAACCCGCAAATTTGTGGCAATTTATACCCAAAATTAAATAGTCTCTGTGTGTCGACAGTTTAGTAATTTGAAGCTGCATACCGTATATAGGAATTTTCAATTTGGATAGTAGTAGTATATCATATTCAGTCGCAAGCGGATGCGATTTTGTGCAAACCAAAGTTTAAATGAAAGCAACGGATAAAATATACTTGAACAGAGGAACAGAGGAAGGCCGTAAATGTAAAGTTATAGAGGGTTGTTCAACATTTGAATTAAACGCTGTTGATGCCGACTCGGTTCAAAAGAGAAACCTGTATTTTCATACATTCTCACTACTTCCCACTACTTCAATGTTCTGACAGAATTCGCTTTGCATACTTGGGAGTGACCCGAACATTCATGAAAGCCTACACTCGAGTGGAATAGCATCAATTCTGAAGCTGGCACAACTAATTACTCAACTAATATTTGCTTTAACGCACACACAAGCTTAAGCAGAGGAAGAAACTGACCACATAAATCTCGCATTGGTCCCCATTAGACACACTCCAGCTGCGCAAGCTGGGAAGCACACACTCACCATAACTTCATAATCGAGCATACGAAGTCGACAGTTCGTGCATGTTAATAGGCCATTCAGTTGCAGAACTACGAATTTTCTATGTGAAAAGTTTTGAAGCTCGGGCAGTCAGACAGATATTAAGCTGATAGTAGGCTTAAGAATGCTCTGAGAAAGACCTTTTTATATATTTTTCTAATTTTAGACTACAGACAGTTTTGTCCAGGGTTAATACTGGTTGATAGATGCAAATTGCGAAACAATTAGCGTACTGGATATTGGATAAGTAAGTTGTTGAGCAACAAACGTGCCCTTTCATGCAGAGTAAGAGTCGAGCACTAAAAATGAAGCTGGCTAGACATTTGTTATGAAATTTTCAGCAAAATTTTCTGCAAATCATTTAGTTGCTTATGCTGACGGCCAGAGAAAGATAAATATTAATAACACAGTTGGTCAGCTAGCAAAAAAGGTGAAGGCTAAGCCGAGCCCCATCACCAAGTTGCCGCCGCAGCAGTTTCTGTGTGCGGTTCAGTTTGCACTGCAAACTAAGCCCGGGCGATGCTGTGACAGGGCAAACCGTGATAGACAGAGTCAGAGTCATAGTCCGAGCTGAGCATTTTAAATAATAATAGCAAAGTGCGGGGCGCATAAAGTAGAGAACGGCAAGTGAATAGTCGAAGAGTTCTGTTGTTGATGACAATACAGAAAAATGAAGGGCAGTGGAAAACAAAGTAAGCGCCAAATAGCCTCGGCGCATAATAAAGTAGAGCCAAGTATAAACTGAGAGGTGAAGTGTAAGCAACAATGAAAATGTTTTATAGTGAAGTAAGAATATCTGTATGCTATGTACATGAAAAATGCAATGCCATACAGCCATTCAAGCCACACAGCTACCTAAGCTACCGCCTGCCCTATCCACATGGCTTAGCTAAATATTAAAATTCATACGCCATGTTGTACGGCCAAATCACTTTCAGGCTTTGGCCATCCACGCCCTTGTTACTGACAAAAAACAAAAAACACAAAACGACAACTGCGACGATTTTCGTATGGCAAACAGCAGAACAGCATATTTTACATAGAGCATTTGAGGCCAAACGATACAGCTGCACTGAAACAATTGCACAATTTATGTGGCATTTAGTATTTGCACATCATTCAAGTCCGACTCAACCACCATACCATGCCCGGCCCCCTAATGCCGGCTGGCAAGCCAACGTCCTTTATACGCCTTTTCCAAGTTTCAGACAATAACATAAAACGAGACGTTAAGCATTAAAAAAAAAAGAATATGCAGGTCAGACACTCACTACAATTCATTTGCACCGCACCCCAACACATGCTCGACAACTAACCTGCAGAAATATTACAAATTCAAAATGCTAAATGTGCATTTAACTTATGTATTTATGTAAATCCCTCGAAATTATTTTGCCCTGCGGCCCACACGACAGCCGAGAAGGACCTCGGAGGACCACGACAGGTATTGTGAACGTAGTATTGCCACCAAAGCAAACTGCACGTCATTTAAATAAGCATACCTTTTCGAGGATGTATGTTTGTTTAGTTATCTTGCAGTTTTGCCACGAACTGTCCACATGCACACTTTCCTCAGCTTTGCTGAGCTGTCAATTGTCAGTTTTTCGGATTGATGGCATGGACTCTCTCATCGTCCTGCAAATGGTTGATTCGTACCCTGTTTCCATTTTGCGTCAGTTTTTCATAATTTTGCCTTATTTTCGTTTCAAACTATGTAACTCTATCCTTCTATACTCCCTCTCAGGTGCTTGTGTTACCACATATTTGTGTCCTCAAATTAAATCTGCACAATA